GATGACGGTAGATGACAGCAGATGACAGTAGATGACACTAGATGACGGTAGATGACAGTAGATGACACTAGATGACACTAGATGACGGTAGATGACAGTAGATGACAGTAGATGACGGTGGATGACACTAGATGACAGTAGATGACAGTAGATGACAGTAGATGACGGTAGATGACAGCAGATGACTGTAGATGACACTAGATGACAGTAGATGACTGTAGATCACACTAGATGACTGTAGATCACACTAGATAACGGTAGATGACAGTAGATGACAGTAGATGACGGTGGATGACGGTAGATGACGGTAGATGACAGTAGATGACAGTAGATGACAGTAGATGACAGTAGATGACGGTATATGACACTAGATGACGGTATATGACACTAGATGACGGTAGATGACACTAGATGACACTAGATGACACTAGATGACGGTAGATGACAGCAGATGACTGTAGATGACACTAGATGACAGTAGATGACAGTAGATGACTGTAGATCACACTAGATGACTGTAGATCACACTAGATGACGGTAGATGACACTAGATGACGGTAGATGACGGTAGATGACAGTAGATGACAGTAGATGACGGTGGATGACGGTAGATGACAGTAGATGACAGTAGATGACGGTAGATGACACTAGATGACACTAGATGACGGTAGATGACACTAGATGACACTAGATGACGGTGGATTACACTAGATGACGGTAGATGACACTAGATGACGGTGGATGACGGTATATGACACTAGATGACGGTTGATGACACTAGATGACACTACATGACACTAGATGACACTAGATGACGGTAGATGTCAGTAGATGACACTAGATGACGGTAGATGACAGTAGATGACACTAGATGACGGTAGATGACACTAGATGACGGTAGATAACGGTAGATGACACTAGATAACAGTGGATAACGGTAGATGACACTAGATAACAGTGGATAACGGTGTACATGTGAATATAGAGCGAGTGTGTCTCATATTCGCGTATATAGGACATGGATTTATTACCATTTTTGTTTTCAGTTTGGACACCGGTCACGTGACCAAGCACGCATTCTAGGTCTAATATTTCTATGGTTAGGATAGACATAGTTACGAAAGTACTACCACAATTGTTGCAAAAATAAATAGTCTAAGGCTAAGTAGGTAATATACTGTAAGTAAAAAATTACGGGAACCACTGAGTATTTTAATAAAATATAAAACAACGGTAACTCCGAAAATAAGATGATGACTGAATCTTAGTCGAAAGCTAGAATATTAAAATGTTTATTTTCGGAGTTACCGTTGTTTGACTGTAAGGGTAACTAAGGGTAATTACTAATACTTGATGGATAATCTGTCACTAAAAAGCCCCTATCATACAGTAATCATGCATAACCATTGCGTTAATGACATTAAGATTTTCGCGAAAGTCGTTTTATAAAAATTTCGCTTTAATTAACGTTTTTCTTTGTCGGCGTCGCTTTTGCTTTGTTTCGGAAATCGCGGAAAAAGACCATGCATTCGTACGAAAAAACTTTGTTGCGCGGACAACAAACGGGCTTAACAGATTGACGTTGACATTTGAAACCGAATAAACAAGACGAATATTAATTTCAGTATGGACAACAGGGCAGGTCCGGGAAAACTCCCTGGAAAATGCATTACGAAATGGCATTTCTTGCGTTTTGGAATGCAGCCAAACATTTTCTAATGAAAACCGAAAACATCATCATAAAACACACAATATATATATATATATAAACGTGTTTAGTTTGGTTGAGAAATTTTTCGTATTGGTCCAGCACATCTACGGGCCTTGATAAACAATTAACCATATATTCGTAAAAAAAATCCTCAGTATGAAACAATACTTACATTAAAGAAGTCACCTTTAAACATTTCTGTAGTCATAACTGGGAGACGTTGAGTTAGACTGAGAATATCACGCATTATCTCGTGGTTGGATTGTAACTCCCCTACAGTTGTGAAAATGTTCAAACAACAAGAAAACAAGAATAATATATAATATTCCAGTCTCCTATCTCATAATTTTTTCTTATGAAATTTATAAATAATTCTTATTAAAAGGAAATGCAACATACCACGTTGTACGGCTTTAGTGTATTCCATGATTATCTTGACTCGTGAATGTAACATCTTTATTGAGTTATATATTGATAGTAAATGTTCAGAAGCTGGAAAAAAAACAATATGGCTTAAAAGAACAACTCGCAATATGCAGTAAGGCAAAACGCTCAAACTAAAGTTAGGTGGCATTATGAAGAACACAATTCATTCATAATCATATATATAAACAGACTGTTATGGAAACGTGGGTCCTGCATGGTCAAACTAGTTAACAGTGTTGCCGTAGCATTCGAAATTTCGATGGGGAAGACCCATTGTTCGCCGTATAGGAAATTAGGAAATTGGCAAAATGGTTCCGAACAACGTAAGAATAATTATATTTTGTTCCCAATCGTGATATGCGAAACAATGTTTCCTGATTTGCGAACTCTTGGAAAACACGACTAAGAAATAAGATATAATGGATTTTTTTGTAGATGGAATTCAGTTGCTGCGCATTAACTACAAATTCATGTAAATGTAATGGGTGATGCCAGCAGAATGTATATAGGTTAATATCGAGATTTTTGGGTATCTCGTTCGATAGGACTAATATACCCACATACATTCTATTGTAGGAAACCATTTTTCTGCATGCATGCTGTAAGGTTTCTCAGTTTTCTAAGCCTTTGAGACGTTTACGTTTTTATTAACATGAAAGTCATGCATGCATCATAATTCAGCCACTATTAATGGAAGCTAATAAGAATCCTACCAGATCCTTCCACAATTCCTGTCGATGATATTTTTGCGACATGATCCACACCGATTCTCTCAGCCTCCTCAGTCGCTAACGTGAAAGGCAGCTCAATGAACAACATTCGTGTCTAAGAAAATATCACGGATAAACTTCAAAAAGCAAAAAATCGCTAAGCTTTCACCATAGTGCATCTGCATGCAGAAACACTAGTCTTGTCCTTTGGTCAAAGCTGCGGGAACGTCAATGAAGGGGCCAATCGTGTTCCAGGAATCATTAAGAAACGAGGTGAATTTTCAGCAAAAGGATATACAGTAGTTTGAATCTGTTCTGAGCAAGTTCTCCTGGGCTCTGTCCACGTATAATTGCCCGACCTCTCAGCCCGCCCCCACACATGTACAGTACGTTCATCACTATGACCGTCGTACACCATGGTCCCCGTCTCGTGCAGACTGAGACATGGCCGTGAACATTTTATGATAAACATTAAGTCGGTAAGGAATCGGTAGAGAGGTTCAGATTTGACTTCCGCTACTGCTACAACTTCCTCTCACTGGCTTAGTCTGCACCTGATTGGTTAATCAAAGAAATGAAACGTATCTGGTTGGTTACTAGTCCCTTGGTAGTAGCGGCAGTGGTAGTCAAATCTGAACCTCTCAATTGAGAGCACAAAACACATGATAAATAGGCGGCCCTAAGGCGGTATAATAGGCTAGCCAAAACGCTCAGAATGCAAACTCACACAAATTGCAGAAGAACTGTCATTTTCACCAGAAGCACATTGGTTTGATTATCAGGGGCCGTTGTTCAAAGGTGGGTTAGCTCTAACCCTCGGTTAAAATTTAACCTGCTGCTTTGGTTTGTGGATTTGTACGCGTTTGATTATTTCAAAACGTCAGAGAAATAAACTCCTATCGATCCAGACAAGATTTCCGATGAAATATTTCCAAATTTATATCGGCTTTCGAACAACTGGTCCCAGATAAACAAAGAGTGAGTATGCTGCTTACCTCAAAAAGTTGCCTGTCAGTACAGAAGATCACTCCTTGCATGAAACTGGCAGTGACAGCATTAAAAATTTTGATGTAAGCACACATATTATCTTATAATTTATGGTATTTAGCACGCTCTGACATTGTGTGAAACACACTTATTACTAAGCATTTCATAGTATATTACCTTGCCATCCTCGACGTCGATAACCGACTCATACATATTGATTGGAAGCTGGTAAAAGAAAACTGGAGTATTATTACTTAACAGCATGTATATGATTGTTTTAGTTTTTCAGTTTTAATTTGGCACTGACCTATATGCTTGTACAATACTATGTTCATATATCTGGGTAGGTAGCGACCGTTCCGCAGTGCAATGTCACATTAGGGAGAAAACAAACTTTTTGACATGGTTATCTTCAAAATAACCTGTCTACTAGAAATTGTCTCCCTACTTTATTTTAAATTTGAACTCACCTCGTTACTTCTGCCCGCAATGGGGTTAAGCTTTAGTAAAACAGGACTTTCATTTATGTGACACATCTACAAATAATTTGATAGATTTAATTAATAATTCGGGTCGATAGGTCCATTTTTGCAAGTTAAGACTGACTTGCATGTAAACAAACAAAATGCATGGTATATTTCCAGATAGTAGTACGGACTATAACAATGCCACTTGGGTCCAATAAATTTTCAATAAAAAAAATATTGATCGGTCTACGAATGGGCTGATCATCGACTATATATATATACTATAGTTACAGTACGGTAAATGAAAACCCATAATAAATAACATTTAACAAATAACATTTCTATAACACAAATTTAGATGTGGATATGATCAAACACACTTTACAACAAGTATTACGCTTACCTAATAACATATACAGTAAAACGAATGGTATCGATATGAATGAATTATATTGATTTCTCTCCCTCGCAGAGGGAGACGAAAACGAAAACATGACTGTTAGCTATATGATCAAATCAGTTATACTTGCCTGTTGATGAACCTTGAGATCAGTTTCATTGGCTGTATTGCCTGTAGTGTACCAACCAAGAAAATCTAAATCTTTGAAAACTTGTGAAACTGCAGGAGAAACAAAAATTGTATTCATTAAAAATGTACAGTAACTAGTATGCCTAAAAAGGCAATATGACATCTGCTACATGCACTGTGGATATTGATGATATCCCTGCACAATGAATTTATGCAGATTTTGTTTGTCCGACTGTAGCTTTGTCCATCATGTAGTCCAGGACTAGATGCTCGTATATTAACTGGAGAATCAGAGTACTGTATAGAAAAGTGAACTGGAAATGTTGTTTTAATCAGGCATTCTGGAATTCCGCGGGTAAAAATAGCAAATTCCGCGGGATTTTTTAGGTCAATTCCGCACCCAAAATAAGAGATTCTGCGGCCAAAATGACAAATTCCGCGGCCAAAATGACAAATTCTTCCGACAACATTCAGATGTTTCTGGGCAAAATATCAATCTACCGCTATAAACAGTAATTGTAGGGTCATTTCAATTTAGATAGTAAGAAATATATTAAAAAGTCGAATAAAAGTTCTCGGTTTCACAAGAAATCTGACATATTTATACAGTGAGTCCCAACATAAAACAAAGTAGCAGACTGTACGTCATCGACGTCGACGTGAAAACTGCATGTAATTACTTGTTTGAGCGCCATCCCCAAATAAGTGCTGTACTAATTTTCAATCTACGGCTCATAATCGAAGTACCGTGTGACAGCAAGTTCGAGAAGCCGAAATAGAAACAACTGAATTGTCATCAAACATTATCAAACTTTTTTCACGAACTCCAAAGGTACAGATCACAAATGACATTGTGTGAACCGGAAGTGCAGTTGCAGGAATATTACTAGAAGTTTAAAAATTAAAATGCTAATAAATGTTAGTGACCAGTGAAATGATGAATATCAACAAAAGTCCTTCTGCTTTGGGGGAAATCTCCGTTCGTAAGGCTTTAAATAAAAAAAAAAGTCTTGTATCAGATCACACAAATGTATATTTTTGTGAATAAGGAGAAAATAAAAAAAATTACTTTACCAAAGTTTAAATTCCGCGATTTAAACTGAATTTCGTGGAATTCCGCGATTTTTGGACGATTCCGCGAAATCGCGGCATCGAGGAATTCCAGAATGCCTGTTTCAATGTAATCGAGGGCGGGGCAGCAAGCTAAATGGTGAAGTGGAAAATGTTCTTACTTCTTGGCAAGTTAATTTTGGCTTTGAAATAAGACACAAATTATTTAATATCTTCACAACACTTGCTGTTCAGAATTAATACATTGTGCTGATATTAATTTGTGTCATTCAGACTTATTTCCGAGCCAAACTGAACTGAAGGTCATCAGACATCATCATCAATATGTCCGTCCAACCCAAACTCAAAGTCATCTAACATTTTGTCAGACGGCCCTGTAAAAGATATTTAAGGCCTGCGATCTGTGCCAAAGTAGGTAATGCCAATAATAACAAGCTTTCGTTGGTAGAGACGCAACTACCTGAAAAATATAAGGAGAATTTCGACATTTCGAGTGACAGCCCTTCGTTGGGAAGGGCCTTCGCTCGACAAAGGTGATTAACTTCCCAACTCGAAACGTCGAATTTCTCCTTGTATTTTTCAGGTAGTTGCGTCTCTACCAACGAAAGCTTTGTTATTGTTGGCATTACCTACTTTGGCACAGATCGAGGACTTAAATATTTTTTACAGGGCCGTCTGACAAAATGTCCGATGACTTTGAGTTTGGGTCAGACCAGGGTTTTTTTCAGGGATTTTTTACGACCGTAAAACGGCCCCAAAAACTCAATCTTGAATTGAGTTTTGAAACTCGATCTTCTCACGAGTTTTTTGAGTTAAATTCGTGACGTGTGCAAATTAGTTTCAGTTGGAAACCTGACAATCAAGAAAAAATGGCTGGAATTCATTTCACAATGGAAGAAAAACAACGCATTCGCTATCTTTAACCAGCTTATAGTGTCCCTTTTAATAGTGACCCTGCTTTAACACATTGCGTCTCAACTACACTTATTGGGTACAAGTGTCAGCCTCCCGCAACTGCCCTAGACCCCCAGCTGTTCAGCTAAACTCAATCTTCTCTGCAAAAACAGACCCAAGAGAAAATCCTGAAAACAACCCTGTCAGACATATGGATGATGTCCCCCTTGGCAATTAAAATCAATTGGCATTACGAGTAAAATAATAATTCAAAGTATTTATTTTATTTTTTAAAAACATATTTAGATAGGATAACCCCTTCAGTTAATTAAAAAAACTGCTATTAATGGGGGTCCTGGTGTATACTATAGGGAATATTTAGGTGCACTGCAGTTTAATGGGCATTTCACTCCAGATGTCCAATGTTACAGAGTCTTTGTAGGCTTGTAGCTACTGATTTATTACAGTTTGATTGTCACAGTTTGAAAAATATTTCTGAAACTAATAGTTTGCTTTCTAAATATAATTCAATAAAGTTCCATGACCAATCCCTGCTCAGCAACCCACTATGAGATCAAGCTGGATTCATGCTTGACAGGAACCTAGTTACTTACATTGCTCTGCCTTTGCATGATAATAATCTGTATTGATGATAACATCACTGTCAATAATATCATATTGTAATTCAAACGAGTTCAGTATTTCCATGCTTCTTCCTTCTTGTGTTCCAAGTAGTGCACCAAAAACTATATCAGGCAAAAAACAAATGAATTATTCTATTGGGCAGGGCTGCATAAGGCGTAAAAAATACCTGTGGTTCCGGTTCCCGACCGACCTTATTTTTTCTGCCGACCCTATTATTTTTTCAACGCGATTGACTTTGTGACCCCATTTTCTCCGGGTGGTTGCGGACTGCTAGTACAGCGTGCCAAAATGGTGTCTGTTGTCGCACTAATTATTGAACCAAATTGCCTAAATTCGTCCATAGAAAATACGCATCTCTAGTTAATATTGATGTCGGGACTCTACTGCAAATCGCCCAGCAAAAAACCGCCAAAACCATGAAAAAAATATTCAAAAAAAAATTTATTTCACGATATGAAACCGGAACCACAGGTATTTTTTTTACGCCTAATATAGATGACCGTGGAACCATTGGTCCAGAAAATTTTTGAGGTTGGCAGAAACAAATGGAGGGTAAAACTTAAAAGTCTCAAAAGAAAAAAGTAAAGAGAAAGAAAGGAAAAACAGAAAGGAAGAAAATGAGAAAAAATGACATATATTATTAATTGAATAATAAGCTGCAGGTAGTGAACTAGTGATGTTTGCAACATGCAAGTAATACAAGTTTCCAATATACCAGTACAAGCAGCACTCTAGCAGCCTGATATTATGGTCATTATTATTATACATGCAGCACTCCAGCAGCCTGATATATATTTGCTCATCAAGGGGAATGCACTGACACTAAAGTGGTTAATCTGCCCATGTGTCTCGTTAACTAATTATGTTGCAATTATGATCCCTGATGCGGCCGGAGCAATTCTAGAATACCCTGCCACTAACCTAACCACTCACTAACTGTAACTCTAAATCTAACCCTAAATCTAACCTAACCCCTAACCATGGGAGTTCACATTAATTTTACACACCGCTAAACGCAGTGGCAGAGTATTCTAGAACCTAGCCTCAATGGGTTAAACATGAAAATGGTTAACTACATGTACTGTAGGTGGGAAAATCTTGACTTGTTTACAAGTTCATAGTGCAAGGTTTGTCACAGAAGTCAAATTCATGCTTTATTGGACAAATAGTCAATAAAAAATTAGTTTCATCAGCCGGGCTGGCAACTTAATACATGGACAAATTCCAGTCTGGAAAGTTTGCAAAACACAGTCAAGATCTCAGGGGTGCAGTTTTGATGTTCCCAATGTATTGACTATTAAATTTTCGTAATTTCCAAGCTTCCCAGTTGGGGACATATTTCAGCCTAGCTGATGGGGCACCCCATTTGAGGCTAGTTAGTCAAGTTACTCAAGTGCAATCCCAGCTAAACGGCTGGCTGAACAGTGAACACTGTTTCATGACATATTGACATGAAATTGTTTTGTTGCTGCCGTAGCGAGCGAGCGTGAAGCGAGCGAGCGAGGCAGCAGTCCTAATCTTTATGTATATGTATATATATATATATATAAGGCAGATGAAATCTCGATCGTTTCGGCATATTTCGGCCTACCACAATGCACTGCTTCCGGGCCGGCAGGCTATTCTTGCCTAATAAACAGGCATAAGGCAAACAAGCAATGTGATCATCTTTCATCTTTGGTTTTCTTTTATGGAAAGCCCATAGCTGGCGTAAGTGATCAAACGGCATTTTGTCGATACGCAGTGGTTCGAGCGTTATACGCGGTGGTTTCGCTATTATACGCAGTGGTTCAAGCATTATACGTGGTGCTTTCGCCATTATACGCGGTGCGTTCGCCATTATACGCAGTGGTTCGAGCATTATACGCGGTGCTTTCGTCATTATACGGGGTGCAATGCTTTTAACATAATTTCCATATTCTTTCCATGTGTATAATCTCACGATTGCTTAATAAATCTGGTAGGCCTATGTGGCTGTGCTTTTCGCCTCTGGTCTGCAATGACAATGACATGCTTTTAAAAAGGTTTATTTATAAAAAGGTGACTGCACTTTGTGAGTTCTTATATATTATCATATAGTGTTGATTTATTAGTAATAAATCTGTGTATATAACATAGGTATATAAATTAATATAACGCAGCGAATGCGCGCCAAGCAGTTTAACCGCGGCTGAAATACGATATTAAAATCTTGAATGTGCCGTATGATTTAATTATGTTTTAGGATTTAAAGCCTTTAAAAATGTTTTGTCATTTGTATTTGTACTTGTACTGCATCACAACGCAGTGCGTAAGTGAACAGATTCCACATGTGAGGTTGTCTTGTATATATTTTTGCCTTCTTTGATAAACAGTGAGACGCACACTCACACATGTTAAATGTCACCTGCATGTCATTGTCATTGCCCTTTAACCCCTGGTCTAAATCATATGATTATTGAAGCGGGGCCGTTTTGACCTAGCACCGTATTTGTAGGCAAATTGTCTACAATTTTATATACTAGATATCACAGCCTTACCTGCCATTTTGATCTTTTCCTCGCGTTAGATAAGTTGATAAGTACACTCATTCTTGTTAGCCATCGTACCTGTTCGGCTGTTCCTCTTTCGATACGAAACTTCGAGCGCCGAGTTATCATACGGCACATTCAAGTGTATAAATTATGGATGATTCCAACGGACCATTCCCCGATTAACCAAAATTTTGAACTCAACAAATCTAGACTTTGCAATTTTCAGTCATTTTAGATTACAAACGGGAGATGGTTACCACTTCTGTGCGTAATACAAATTACAAAATGACTGAAAATTACAAACTTCGCAAAGCTATGTTATCCGCATTTTACAACATTTTGCAACGGAACTTTGGAATATTACTAATTTTGTGATGCTCTTTCAAGTTGTGATGAAATTTTTGTTTAGGCTAGTTAAGATCAAAATTTTGGAAAAGTGGTAACCATTTCCCGTTTGTAATCTAAAATGACTGGAAATTGCAAATTTCGCAAGGCTATATTATCCGCATTTTACAACATTTGGCAACGAAACTTTGGAATATTACTAATTTTGCGATGCTCTTTCATGCTATGATGGAATTTTGTCTAGACTTTGTTGAGATCAAAATTTGGGTTAATTGGGGAATGGTGATTACAAATATTTCTTACTCTTATTCTTTAAAATATTAAAGATTTGGGAACAATGCTATACCAAGGCAGCATTCACTACCCTGTGGGCAAACTAGTATAGAAAATTATTATGAAGCTGGGAGCCCTGTTTTAAGTGGGTCGGATCTGAAAACTGGGCTCATAATAAACAGAAACTATGGGCTATGGTGCAGTTTGCAGATCTGGTCGACTTAATTAGCACCTTTTAAATTTAATATATAGACATTATAATATATTATATATATATATATATATATATATATATATATATATATATATATATATATATATATATATATATATATATATATATATATATATACACTGGATCCAGCAAAGTTTGACCTTCGAATATATATATATGTCGGCCATTTTGAATTTTCTTGGGTTAATTATACGCGAACGCATACATCAAATGTCGCTCGCAACGTACTGTATATTGCAATATTCCAACAGCTCAAATAAGTAGAGGATCATTGCTTGAAGTTCTTACACATATTTGTAGCAGCTATCTAATGAACATTTGAGGGTTGTTAGCTAATTAACTCTTGTCACAATTTGGAACCTGATCTTTTTGGCATGTCGTAATTTATTCTTTTGCATCCTTAGAGATTTAGACGCTTATTAGCATGCCTCGATGAATTTCTTTGTTTATTCTTTCGTATTCACTTGTGCTTATTTTATAGCTGTAACCTACGTCCAGAATTATTATATTAAAGAGTTTGGCAACCTAGAACGGCAACGACAACTGCAACGGGGAAAATATAATTGCTTATATTGTTGTATTTGA